ACTGCTTTTTCTGAGCCTCTGAAATTCTCCTTTGAAATAGCAAAATTCTCTCATTTCCTTATCTATGGGTTTGGTTTCCGTGACTCAGTAGAGATTTCAAAGTGCTTTCCAAGCACAAAGCCGTCCCTTGATTTGTTCTCAAGTTCAGGTGGCAAAGCAATCAACTTTTGCAGGAAAACAAAAAACAAAAACCACCACCAAAGCTGCTTAAAGCCTCTCAAACGTTCCAGGAAGCAAATTGAGCCATTACAACACAAGAGTCAAACTCTTCCTTGGATTACTCACGTACGCACTGTGGCTTTGTTGGACAGAAGTAAAACACAAGTCTGATTTGGAGACCGTCCAAAATTAGAACAGAAATTAGTTTCACAGTGAAGCTACAAGTTTCAGTCTTCAAGCAGATATGAGAACCTTTTTTGTTTTTCAAAGATTTTATTTACTTATTTGACAGACAGAGATCACAAGTAGGCAGAGAGGCAGGCAGAGAAAGAGGGGGAAGCAGGCTCCCTGCCGAGCAGAGAGCCCGATGCGGGGCCTATCCCAGGACCCTGAGATCATGACTTGAGCCGAAGGCAGAAGCTTAAACCACTGAGCCACCCAGCGCCCTTGTGAGAACCTTTTATCATCAAACTGAATGATAAATCTTTCCAGGGACTTTATTTCTTGTATGTTGGATTTTTCTGCTATGACTTTGAGCTCTCTTTCTACAAGAGAAGAGCGAATGTTTGCTGACTTCCCTGTAAGGATGGGCAGAGTCCAGGCAATCGAGGAGGGCTGAAGGGGCCTACAAAACTCCATGTCAGCTGTTCATATTTTCTTGATCACTTTTTATGTTTAGGTAAAAATGCCTTTTTTCTGAGTTTCCGTGGAAAGATTGCCCACTAAAGGTTTTCCCATATTTTTTTTTTAGCAACCTCTCTTCCCACCCCGAAATACAGACTCAACGAATGTAGAAGCATGGAAAAACCCAAGAAGTATGACAGATCTAAGGTAATTTTACAGTGATGGTGGAGGTAGGCTTGATCATAAGAGGGGATGAATCTGAATTCATGAAAAAGTTGAATTATACTCTAAAAGAATGTTCTATCACTTTAAAGAACAGAATACTTTCCTTAACTCATTTAAGTTTTTTCTCTTATCCCATTTTAAAGCAGGATTAATAAAAAACCCCCAAACCCAAAACCTGCTCTTATTGGTGACAATACGTAAGGGTCCTTTTCCTCTAAATGAATGGTCTCTGCATGTGGTCCTGAAAACACCCTAGTACAGGTCCTATTTTGCTACTGACAAGTATTTTTATATCTAAACCTTACTTTATTTAAATGATTAATTTAGTACCATGCAATAATTTGCGCACGCCTGTTGATTAACTATTTACAGAACTCTGCCCAGTTACAAATTAGGTGTACTTTTTTTTTAGATTACTCACCTGAGAATTCTGAGTATTTTTTTTAAGATTTTATTTATTTATTTGACACAGAGAGAGAGATAGTGAGAGAGAGAGCACAAGCATGGGGAGCGGTAGGCAGGCAGGCAGAGGGAGAAGGAGAAACAGAATCCTGCTGAGCAAGGAGCCTGATGCGGGGCTCGATCTCAGGACCCTGGGATCATGACGTGAGCCTAAAGCGGACGCTTAACCGACTGAGCCACCCAGATGCTCCTGTGTGAACTAATTCTTGACATTAATGTGCATTTCTTACTCTGTTGTGACTTTAGAAACTATGAAATTTAACTATGCTGAAATCAAAAGCAACAGCAATCTAAACGGCTGACTTTCTATAGCTTAATTTTTAAAAGTTATGTATGTTGTCTATCATAAAATGGAAGATACACGTTGGCCCACAGCTACATATTCTATTCTATTTTTAAAAACTCATGTTAAAAGGAGAAACACATTGCAAGATTAATCTCCCTCTGTCAGAGCTATAGAACTCACAACAACAGAAAAATGTAAACACAAAATCTCATTTATTTTTGTCTGAAGCACAAAGGAGCTCACTCAGCACATGAACGGGGAAGCAAATCACACAAATACTGAGTAAAAATGTCCTCATGAATACACGCATACATGTCCTTAAGAGCAGCAGTCCAGAGTTTGACATATAATGTAAGGTGGTTTTTTTTTTTTGTTTTGTTTTGTTTTTGTTTTTTTTAAAGATGTCATTCATCTATCTGACAGAGAGAGATCACAAGTAGACAGAGAGGCAGGCAGAGAGAGAGAGGGAAGCAGGCTTCCCACCGAGCAGAGAGCCCGATGTGGGACCTGATCCCAGGACCCCGAGACCACGACCCGAGCCGAAGGCAGAGGCTTAACCCACTGAGCCACCCAGGCGCCCTGTAAGGTGGTTTTTGATAGAGATGCTTTCTGACAGGCCTGAACAGGAAATAAACAGGCAACTCAGTGCCCCATGACGTCTGTTCCCCATGGACGCTGAAAGCTGTCTTAGAATTTACACGAGTTCCGACAACAAACAATAAATGAAACTTGTAATTTAAAAAAAAAAAATTTACACAAGTTCCATCACTGGTCTCTCAAGTTTTGCATTTCAGTAAATTTAGACTAGATTTACAGACTAACCCCTCAGCTCTCACTCTCTCACCTTTGGGACTGTGGGCGGGAAAGGGAGAGGCTGGGTGTGAAAATACGCATGGGGTCCAATGCTCGGGCTTTCCAGTAGTGTCTGTTCATCTGTGTACTTCTTTATACACTTTCCTTTACAGACACTGAAAAGGGTCAGGGCCCAAAATCATACTGAAAGGGGCTGGGTAGATCTGAGGTTGCAAATATCTCTTCTAAGACTCACCAAAAAAACCAAAAAACTTAAAAATTCATAACAATCCATTTAATTTGAGAATTATTTCAAGACATCGCCATGACACATTTCTTAGGCTACCTTTTAAAAATTCAGAACGCTCCTTTTAGACATGTGAATGTGTCCAGCAGCATCAACAACCTTAAAAAATGGACAACAATGAAAAGATGTCCACTAGGGTACGAAAGTGTCCAGGTCTGGATATCTTCCGTGTATGCTCAAGGTAGAACTGATACAATATGCCTTCCAGCTTGCCTTGAAAGCTTTCCATATGTCTGGTTCTGTGGTGAAAAGATTAAAAATAGGAAGAGTCTGGAAGGGAATGAAGATTCAGAATACACTGCTGGATCTCACATCTACTGTGTTACCTCTGTGACATCCCAGCTGTAGTTGCCAACAGGGACACTCCAGGATCAGCTCAAGATCACCTAAGCGTAACAGGAAAGTTTCCAACCACTTTCCTCCCTTTGCTATGCAGAATTCTCAGGGAAGTGAAAAAGAGATTCTGTAGGGTTCAGTGCTCACAATAGTAACTTAGAAAGACTTCCTCCTGGCATGAAGGGAGCTAGGTCCAAGATATTCTCTTGGATTCTAGAACCTTTGACAATGAAATCAGAGAAAGAACCAAAGAAGGGAGCAGATTCTTAGTCCCAGGTTACGATTACCAGGACAACCTCTCAGTCCTAATCCCATGTTTCATTCCCTTTTGGAAATTCAATTCACCTTACCCGATCAGCCCCCTTTTGTGTTCTGTTGTAGAAAATATCTTTCAAATGCAGGACTGTCAGCACTATTAACTCAGTTTTTACCTGTTAAAGTGTATTCCATTAACAAATGCCATGAAACCCGAGGCAACCAGTACAGGGTGAGGGGAGGGGGCAAATAATAAGCCTTCATTCTTTCTTTCCTGTCAGAGAGCAAATATTCAAACATAAAGTGACAAATAGGGTTGGCTTGAAAAACCGCCTCTCCACAATTCAGAAAGTCAAGCCACATGAGTCCAAGCTAACATTTCAAGGCGTAGAGCCTCTGACCACATGTACGGCCAATGTCTGCCATATTGCACAAAGCCTACGCCACATTCAGGACCACTGTGCTGGGAGCCACGAAAACACAGAAGTTCTAAGAGATGCAGGGAGAGCGAACTACACGTAAACATTTCAACACATCCTATTTTTACCAGAAAAGATAGTCAGGTCTTAACATACTCCTGGGGCTAAATGGAATGTTTGACAGATCGGTTGTAGATGGCCACTCTTCTTGCTGCTGAGGTCACACCTGTTTATATACAGAATCCTTCATCTAAGTGAAAACTGATGCTGGACATCAACACGTACCTCCTTAAGGAAGTTACACGTGTAGGATCTTGCAAAGGCTGGGAATATAGGAGGATCTTACACATCTGATCCAAATTCTTAAGTCCACTCCTGTGGGTTAGACACCAGGGAACCATGTTCCTTTGGCCACTGGAAGCTGAATTTACGGAGTCACTTAATATCCCACAACACAAACTGCTTGTGTGTTTTAAATAAGATCAAATTGTGTGTCAGCTATATTCAAATAAGAGAAATTCTTTAAAAAATGAAAATAAGGCCAAAATTGTGTTCCGTCATTAGATGTTGTGTGTACACAATCAAATGTAAAAGTGTTTCTACCAGGAAAAGCAGAAAATACAACGTGGGCAAATGACTGCTGATTTAGTACAACTAATTGAGGATCAAATTTATAGTACAAGAGGGGGAATTTTGTTCTTAGGTCTGTAAGAACCTAATATAATATAGCTATATTATATTATATTCTCTACTTTAAGGTAAATTATAAGGAGTCACACTTAAGTCCTAGGTGTGAGTGTGAAGATACAGTAAGAAACTCTATTCCTTTTCCGTGTTGATTCATAGTTTTTTAAATTAAATGAGAAAATTGTAGTATTTAAATGACGTTCACATCAATACTTCTTCAGAGTTTATAAAAAAATTTGCTTTTAATTATAGGTTATGGAAAAGTACACTGTACTAGGAAGCATAAAAATACTTTTTGTTTTGTGTAATGTTCCTAGATGTCTAGTGCAGGTTAGTCCTATTACTATAAACCTTAAGTTTATAGTAATAGAGGATAACTTTAATTATCCTAAATAAAGGATAACTTTAATTATTCTAAAATTCGAATGTCCCCCAAATTATTAGGAATTAAAAAGGCAACAGGATAAAATGGAAAAATCCAGTGCTTTCAGTAAGCAGGGTTTAAAGATTTTTAATAATGTATTTAACTGCATTTGTCTTTCATTTTAAAGTTCTACCAGACTGAGATCTGAGGATGAAATATTTGGCAACCATGGCATACCTCTTGGGGAGACCCCATCATTGCTGTGAAACCCTTCCTTTTAGTATTGGTAGCTCCTTATTGCCCAGCACGTGACCCAGTTTATGAAGACTCCAGTCTACACAACAGTGGAGTATGGAATTTGTTTCTTTTCTAATAACAATGAAGCAATAATAGCATCACACATTTATACATTAAGGTGATTTTAAAGTACACAAAAATACCACTATTTGTACCCTGTAGTTATATGAATAATATTCCTAAGAGACTTTAAATCTTTAACACCCAACCTCTGTCAAACACTCTGCAGCACAGAACTATATGAAGAAAGCATGTGGCAATTTCTGACATTTCATCCCCAAAGAAGGCAAAGCACAACAATAACATGTCTCTGAAATGCAAACTCCATTAAGTGCAAATTTCCAGAACACAAGGTCAATCTAGAAACACATTTTAAAATTCAACAAGTTCTCCTCTGAAATTAATATGCTCAGTACATAATTTTCAATCATAATCTGAAGTGATTTTCCAATGCATGTTCATAGTCTAACTTTTTCTCCCTCATAAAAATATATTTACTAGTTCATTTTCCATTTTCTGATTTTTCACATTTATTAGCTCAACATATCTAGCCTTACAGGAATACATTTTCTCTCCACATTTCCAAATATGAAATCGATTTGACTTAAATCTCACAATAAGAACCCCACCAGGAATAACATTCCCCTATATTTGAGCTTAAAGTAAATCCAAACAGCTCAAAAGGGAGAGATTTTGAATCCTCCCAGCCGGAGGGCTGGGAATTAGCACGACCCCCTTCAAACAATTTGTCAAGTGAGTACTGTAACTAGACACAGAAAGAGAGAGTCATCCCAAGAACAAGATACTATTTTTGGACTTTCTAACTCGGCCTGGGCACCAGGGAGATGTAGAACCACGTGATCCCAGGAGAATTTGTAGAGGCCGAGGGTCTTACACTGAGCTTGAAAAGGGGACCACCTGTTTTCCGCCCACATAAACCTCCTCAATATTTCGGTCATCTCCTGAAAGAAAAATGAAGGAATCATTCATAAAGTGTTTTTATGTCAATAGGTATTTTTTAAAAAGATTTATTGATTTGAGACAGAGAGAGAGTGTGTGAGTGTGGGGGGAGGGGAAGGGCAGAGAATGGCGAGAAGCAGATGCCCCACTGAGTGTGGAGCCCGACCTGGGGCTCAATGCCATGACCAACCAGAGATCATGACCGAGCTGGAACCAGGAGTCCCATGCCCAATGGACTGAGCCGCCCAGGCACTCCTATGTCAGTAAGTATTTTAATTGCCACAGGGAGGGATTTAAAAACAAATACCACTTCTAAGAGGGAAAATACAAAAAGCTACATTTTTTTCCTCTCGGACTGTTCATAATCTGGACAAGGGGACATGACCAAGACAAGGGGCTCCATTGAACTGGAGGATTAGGGTCTGAATTCTGCACCGAAGGCAGAAATCCCAGAAAGTTGAGTTCACTTTCTGCGGCAGCCCTGTCGGCTGGAGCAGTTTGCATTTCCAGCCCTGACGGTAAAGGAAATGCTTATCTTTACAGGCCAGAATCATCCTCAGCATGGGGAGACGCAGAGGGCCTCCAGGAACTGAGCTCTGGAAACGGTACCTGCATCTCTCTTCTCAAGTTCACCCAGTACTCAGAGCTCCCAGACCAAGCGGGGGCCAAAGTAGAATCTCCCGTACTATTTATTTCTCTCAGTGAACGGAATCAAATGTGAGTACACGTTAAAACAAAACAAAACACACACACACCAAACATAGGTGGTGAGACTCCACCACAAACTTAGCACAAATAGAACATGATAGGAAGGACTGGGCGGGTGTTCAGAGTGAACGGGGAGGAAGGGACCCGACGGCCTCTTCCCTGAACCTGCCGTTCCTCAGCTTTGGATTTATCTTCCAGAGGAACATGGGCATTTCAGATAATGCCCTGAAATGGGCTTGATGCTGAGGAATGTTAAAATAATAAATGAAACGGTCACGCATAGAGTTTAACCTATGGGGCCACACATGCCGGGAGCCATACCCAAGAAAGACCAGGAAAGATTTTATTTAGCACAGAGACATATATCCACCTACCTAGGTAGAGGAACTTCTGGATTACAGCCTAAAATGCAAAATGAAGTAATAATAAGAAAAAATATTCTGTGCATTTAGAAGAGTAAATTCATAATCAACAGGGGTTGGTAAAGCGCAGACATACAAATTTATTTCTCAGAGGCAAAAATCTACTTCCATTAATGAAAAAGAAATGGACTTATTGTAGTCAAATAGATTCAAATATACAAATATATTCAAAATACAAGTTTTTGTCAGTACCATTATTCTTAATATTACACTGACAAATTGAAAAGGATCTACTTTCCCTTTTAAGATTCCCCTGTATTCCCTTAAAATGTTTCCATTTCTATTTTTTTTTTCCTCCAGAGAAGATATGAAAAAGATGCCTTTGGACGAAATTTGTTTTACTTACTTCAGATGTATCACCAGCCAGATCCCCAGAAAATAAGTCAATGGGAGAGTCAGATGCTTTGGGGTTGATCAGGAGGGCATCAAATTCCTTGCCCACTTCAAAGTTTCCAATCTCTTTATCTAGCCCCAGGGCTACAGAGTGGAATAAATTAGTAAACAGTCAGTATTTGGAGCCATCAGATGATGAAAATGTCCCCATTTGCAAGGACAGAATCTGTCCTTGCAGACTATCACTAGAAAAAAAACTATCTTAATGGGAAGCAGAGAAGCTCTCATTCTAAGAAATCCTAAAACACTGACACACAGGAAGCAGAAGAAGCATGTGGAAAGCAAAATCTGAGAATAAAAACAGGTCCCCTCATCACCACAATCTCTAATTCAGATGGTGTCTGTCTGTTTCAGCTCTATTAGCACCCTTCACAGTCCAGCTGGCCTATGATTTCCATTCATCCCTCTAAGAAACATGACGATTGACATAATGTCTTCTTCTCCCCTCCTGTTCTCCCCCCACACTCCAACTCTTGCCCTTTTTGTTCTGTGAAACAGCTGACAGGATCTATTTTCATGGCAGTGAAATGAACCTCAAATAAATATGTATCCTTTTGTATCTTCGTCAATGCAGGCCTGTCCATCCTAAGTTCCTTAGTTTAAATCCACTGAATGGAGAAAATTGACTTCTGAAAGTAAGTATGTCCTCCTAACTCAAGAGTGCCAATGCTTTAGAAAGCAGACCAATTTCTCGGTAACCTCAAGGACTTTCTGGTTGCCAGGGAAGAATGGTTTTCTAAAATAGGTCAGTACGATCTATTGACTTGATCCATCTCGTAACGAGAATTCACGTTCCATGAATATCGGATGTCAAGGAGGAACATCTGTCATTTTTATGATTTAGTTTCAGAAGATGGGAGTAGTTGGCTTTCCGAGTCAATAAAGATATTAAATCTAAAGCTCCTTAAAGCCTGTAATCTGAGTGCACGCTGAGCTACGAAGGGGAAGCGTGCACAGACAAAGGCCAGCTGGAGGGCACCATTGTTTATTTGAATTTTTGCATGTGTTGACTGAATTCTGTCCCATCAAGATAGAGTCCAATGTGAAAATATTGGATCAGGTACCTCCATTAGACACAATCTGGTACATTCTCTTTCTCTGTATGGATATCCAGCAGACTTTTTGGCAGTTCCCTAAGCACTGATTAAGAAACACTACTTGTTCTTAAAAGATTGTTTAAAGGGTAACTCTTTTATTCTCAGAAGAGAACAAGATTTTATAGCTAAAGAACTCTTATAGGCAGACAGGGGTGCAAAAGTAATTAGAAAATGTTAAAGGCAGTTAGGTGACTCCTACTAACTGTGTGGGAAGGACCGAATGTAGTAGAACATCATTGGATATTCTCTCCTCCTTTGCCAATTACAATCTTTTTGCCTTTGATAAAGAAGCTTAACAAAATAGAAGTTTTTAATGACTGTATTCAACATAAAATTGTGGTGTGTTTAATAGGTCAGATGACCAGCTTCATTTGCCAGAGTTTTGATGGTACGTATACGTATAAACTAACTGAGCGGATTGTTCAGACCTGGAAGGTCAGGCATGTGCTAACCCAAAAAAAGGCACAACTGCTTTTACAAATTTGTAAATTGGTCTAAATTCAGATTATTACAGAGAGGCCCAGGAGGGCTGGTGAGCAGTTCAGACGCATTTCAGGAAATGCAGTCTCGCTGCCTTGGAGCACATGTGCCTGTGAAGGGGATTTATGCACATCTCGGTCTTGAGAATGAAGGGAAAGGCTGTGACAAGCTGGGGAGATGCCACAATTTAAACAGTGATCCAGTCATCTCATTTCACTCAGAGTCTCACAGAGACAAGCACTTAGGAGAAGAAATTCCATCACAGTAAGCTCAGGGCCCAGAAAATAGATCTAAAAGCTACACAGCAAGATAGACATGATTTGGTGAGCACCCCGTGCCAGTTTGATCTCGTACAGGACCCCGATGAAGCACCTCGCAGAGAGCCTAGAATACAGAAGGCACTTAAGTAACAGTCCACTGGCACCATGAAAATCAGATGGTGGGCCAACAATACCAACAGGGATGGGGAATTTTAAAAAATGGATGATTTAAAACTTGGAACTTTAGAAAACAAAATCATAAGACTTAAGAAAATGCAAAGAGCATGACCTCTGCTCATTTCCCCTGAAATGTTCTTTATGGCATTCATCATAGCCCAGAACATCCAAAGAGCCAGAAGGTTTCTCTTCCCAGGACACTCTTAGCTTCTATCATCCTTTATTTTGTAAGACCCTGGGTATCTTTCATAAATCTCTCTGTATATCTACACTGTCTCTGTTTTGATGTTTTCATTTCCTAATAGCTACCTGACTTTCATGCTGTGTTCACCATCATCCATCCAGATCACACTAAAATACGGAAGTGACTAAAAGCAATACAATTACCAATTTCTATTTTTTCCCTAAAAATATGGTTACAGGTGAGAACTGGAAAAAGCTGGTAAGCAGTCTTTACATATCAATCAATTGCACTTTTACATCTTTTTCCTTTTAAAGAGCTTTGGGTAATTAGTGTCCTTAAATATACCATCGAAATGCAGAGTTGAAGCTGAGATTTCCAGAGGAAAAGTAGGAACCTGCACTCCGGCACCAGATTTTCTGGATTCAAATCAGGGCACTCTGTAGCTTGACAACCGTGTACACCTCGCTCAGATGCCTCACCAGTTGGGGAGAATTAGCAGCAGTTGTGAGGTTGAAGTCACAACAGAAAGCATGACGCACACTGCCTCTTACCTGGTAAGAGTTAAGTCTGGGCTATTATTTTTACTATTATTATGAATATGATTACTCTCATCCCTCAGGCCAAAAGACAATGTGTTACTTGACTCAGTGGGAAAAAGCTGATGATTTTCAAGAACTCACCCACATGCGACCATTGCAAATATCCATCAAAGCATTAATATAATTGTGTGTTGAACACGTCCCCTGCCAAAGACAGGGGACTTGCTGAAGAAAGGATACCTCCACCACATGTCTGAACATTACCCACTAAATCTGGGGTATGGTACATGAGACGCAACATCGGGGTATGAATAAGGGGTGCCTGCTGACGCCACTCTCGTAAGCCTTCATACTGTTTCCAAGGACACAGACTGGCGCGGTTGTGCGCTGCTCAGGAAAGAGACAAAATGGTCATTACCTTGGCTGCCTCCAAGAGTAGCTAGTCTGAAGACCTCTTTGAGGGTGAGGCTTTTCTCGTTGATCTTATTAATTAAAAGGATATTGGAAACCATCACTGCTCTTCTGATCGCATCCAGCATGGAGGCTGAATAACCACCAGCCACATCTACGGGAGATGAAATAAAGCCACAAGAGTAACCTCATTCGATAAATGGGATATTAGGTATATGACATTGGTTTTGGGGTTTTAGTGAGTGATACTCTGTCTGGAATATACTTCCAAGAAAAGATCTTATCTAGACACAGAACAGACGCAGACTAATAGTTGAAAGATACCACTGCAACTGGTATCAAACACATATCAAATGTATTCATTTCCTAGGGTCCTTACAAAAAATCACTACAGATGTGGCAGCTTAAAATAGTAGAAATCTATTCTTTCACAGTTTTGGAGGACAGAAGTGTTAAATCCGAGCGCTGGCAAGGCCGTGATCCCTACAGAGCTTCCAGGGAGGAATCCTTCCTTGCTGCTTTCAGTTTCTGGAGGCTCCTGCAACGGTTCCTTGGCTTACCGCAGTATGATACTGGTACAACATCTGCTCCTGCCTTCCAATGGCCTTCTTCTCTGTCTTTACGTGTCATTCATTTTCTCTTGTAAGACATTCATCATTGCATCCAGGGCCTACCCTAATTCAGAATGACTTCATCTTGAAATCTCTACCTTAATTGTAACTGCAAAGACCTTTATTGCAAATAAGGTCATGTTTTGTTCAGTAGACATCTTTGAGGATGGGGGGGTAAGGAGTGCACAGTTCGACCCAGTGCAATGCCCAAATGGCTAATAAAGCTAAGAGAAGAAACTCTTATCTGGATATTCCCTGCACTCTCACAAAAATATGCCTGCATAGTTACGAAGATAATTTGGATAACATGAAACTTAAAACAAGCTCACAGTTCTATACCCTTAAAAACTCATCCTAGCTCTATTCTAATACAGATGAGAACTTGGGGAATTAAAAGCTACTTCTTTATGATAATTTTTCAGGGAGAGCTTTTAGAGGGAATTGTGTTTATATTTGTTGTTGTTTACTGACTTTATTTTTTGAGAGCAGTTTAAGGCTCACAGCCGGCTAACTTTTTAAAGGTATTACTTTAATACTGTACATATGCTCTCTTAAGATACATTTTTGATTTTTGCTTTCATTTTTAAACTCTTTTACAACTTTTTATATCTTATTTCTATTTTAACTAACCTCCCTGATATGCTGTTGTCCCTTCATTTCCCTCGACCTTGGCCCATTGTTTTGTCTCATAACTCACTGAATGCTGTAGATTTTCAAGTAATTTTTTCCAAGAGTTCATGGGGAGCATATTTTCCAAGACTTTGTATATTGGAGAATTTTGTTGCCTTTGCAAATAAAGGAGGATCTCGTCCAATATAATATTCTTGGGTAACAATGATTTGGCTCCAAACTCTTTCTTGACCTTGCTATTTTTCATGCCAGCAAAAACACCCAAAACCAAACTGGTTTTTAATTGTTTTATTGATAACTGACTTTTTTCCCTGCCTTACCGTTTTCAGATTTTTTTTTCCTTTTTCTTTGTAATTCCAATATCTTAGCAATCAGTTACGATTCAGCGTAGAACAGGGTAAGTTCTTTGAATATGATACACGGTTCTTTCTTAAGCTCGGAAAAGATTTATCCTTTACAACTTCTGTTCGATTTGCTCTGGGTCCTGGGTCAGGAAAACCCCCACTGCGTTGTTGTTATTCTTTCTATGCTCCATGTGGATCATTCTCAAACACCCCCTTCGATCTTTGATCGATGTTGTTTTCCACATCATTGATTTAATTTTCTGCAATAGTTCTACTCATAGCTTCCTACACTGTTATTTTTAAATTGAGTTATAATTAAGACAACATAAAATGCATAGAACTCAGGTGTCTAATTTGACGAATGCTAACAATTATACTAGCCATTTAACTACCTTTCAGAAAGACAAGATGTTAAACATTTCCATCGCTCCAGCAAGCTCTCTCTCAGTCCTTTCCGGTCATTTGTGCTCCCTGCCCCCATCCCCAATCCTTGGCAACCACTGTCTGATTTCTATCAACATAATGTTAGCTCCACTGGTTCCTAGGTTTCATGGATATGGAAACATACAGCATGTGCTCTTTTGTGCCTGGCTTTTTTCACTTAACAAAATATTTGTGGATTTACCTTTGTTTCACATAGATCAGTGGTTTCTACTTTCCTGAATGCCGAGCAGCATTCCACTCTAAGAATACACCACAGTTTGCTTACCCATTCCCCAGTCCACGGGATTTTGGATTGTTTCCTGCTTGGGGCTATTACAAATACAGCTGGTATAAACATTCGTGTACAACTCTTCCTGCAAACATATGTGCTCATTTCTCTAGGGTAAATACCCCAGAACGGAATTACTGGGTCATATGTCGATGTATATTTAACTTTATAGGAAATAGCCAAACAGTTTTCCAAAGTGGTTGTAAAATTTACCCTCCCTTCAGTCATGTAGGATTGTCTACATGCTCCTCACTCTTTTTTTCCCCCCTAGTTTTCTTCTTTCATTTAAAAAAACTTCTTTTTCCATCACAACTTGTGGTCTTTTCATAGTACCATGTCTTCTTGTACTCCAAGGATGATGGCAATCCTGAGATTTTTCTTCTAAATCCTGATGTAGGTCAGTTTCAGAGATAAGATCATCTTCTCATTGGTTTTTTTGTTTTTATTTTTGAGAGAGAGAGCATGTGCACGTGCACATGAGTGGAGAGAAGGGCAGCAGAAGAGGGAGACAGAGAATCTTAAGCAGCTTCCATACCCAATGTGGAGCTTAATGTGGGCCTCGATGCCAGGACCCTGAGATCATGACCTGAACTGAAATCAAGAGTCGGATCCACCCAGGCACACCTCATTCTTTTTGATATGACTTCCTCTGATTTTGCAATACTTTTGTTAAGCTTCATGTGAGTTTCCCCTATCTAATAATTGAGAAAGTCCAGATCTGCCTCTACTTATTGTAGACAGAGTGAACAAACCACTTTTGGACCTACTCCCGGCCCACAGTATAGGGTTAAATGATCTTCTGAAGCCTACCGGAGACAGCCAGGTTGATATTTAAAGGTCATGTTTCAGTGGAATGCAGTGGGGCTACTGCAACAGAAACCATGTAAGATGCAACAGCATTCTCCCAGTTCATAAGTGAGTATGTCCTATTTAATCAAACCTTTGGTCAATACACCAGCATTGCTCCTTCCCTTTAAACCAATCTTGATTGACTAGTGCAATATGTCAAGTATGTGCTAATAACCATTCTGTATGCACTTTTTTCTCATTAAGCCTCAAAATAAGCTTATAAGATAGACATAGTTGTAACTATTGTTATTGCTACAGAAATCAGAGAAATGAAGTCCTAGAAAATTAAGGAAATTTGCTCAAAGTCTTACAGCTAATAAGTGACAAAGCTTTACCTAAACATTGCATCCACCACTGTACAACCCAAAGTCAAGAACTGGAAGTCATGTGATGAACTTAAGTCAGGGGGACAAAATCCTAGAAAACTGGAAAGAAATCCCTACCTGATTTTTGGCTATCTACAAAATTTTTCATTACTAGACTAGTGTGTAACAAAAATTCTTGGCCATGTTTTTTCTTATTCATTAAAGCTTTTCTCTGGCCATAAAATAACTACCTTAACACCTGTGACTATATCCAAGTATTACCATGATCTCAATGATTGGCGTCTTACATGAGAATTTTTTTAAAATCATAATTCTTTTGACTCACATAAAATTGGAGTGAACATCTAATCTAGCACACCTCCTTAAAAATATTAATAAGTCACTTCATTTTATTGTATATCTTCCCGACATTGCTGGTATAAAACTAAATGACGTGTGCGTTATTGCAAGAAATGATGACAACCATCTTCACCATTATGCAAACATCCCAATGCTCTTAAGTTTCAGGAAGGTAAATGCATCAAGAATGAAAATAAATCCTTGTGCCTCATACCCATTTAAAAAAATTTTTTTTTAGTTATTCATACACAGAAATAAAAGGTTCACAAGGGATATGCCTACGCATTTGGGCCTGTCTCGTACTTTCAAAGTGAGCAGCACTGCACACACTCAGGAAAAACAATTAAAATGTATTGTGGGGGGGAAAAAAGGCACCACTAATTCATCAGCCACCTAGGATGTCCTTCATCCCAGCAAACAACAGACGGCCTGTGGGAGTTGGAATCTCATTTTGTTAAACACAGATCAAAAGCAAAGCAAGTTCTTAATATATCTCCAAATTCTCAATGCTGGCATAGACCGAATCTCTGCTCCCTATGGCAAGGTCAAATAATTTTCTTTTGAGATGGTATCTGTAATGACAGAGTTACGGAAAACTAAGACCATACGAATCCAAACCATCAAAACCTAGCCAGAGGGACCAAATGAAAGGGGGGGAAAAATCAAGGACTTAACAACAACAACAACAAAACCGAAAACAATAAAACTCTACAACACCTTAGAAGGACTTACCCTTTGTCAAGCAATCCCTGATGGCCCTCAGGAGGTTAGCATCATCAAAACCTCTCCCTTTCCATATAGTTTCTTTACTGCTGCCATCCCACCATTTTATTAGCTCGAGATAGGACTACCAGATAAGAAAACTAATTCTTTAAACTGTTACCTGGAAATTAGTCACATCATAAAGTTATGCTCAACCACTTTGCCCATGTCCAAATGGCAAACTACTGACCTGTACCCAGCCCTATTTTCACTTCATGTTTCAAGACTTCGAGCACATTGAGAAAGCCGCTGCTGAGCCTGTAGAAAGAGGAAATAGTCAGGACAAGGAGACGCATGTGTTTCCAACAAAAAAAGGACACCAACAATAATGATGGTGATTTCACTAAAATTGTGTTTCCCGTCATAACAGCTCTCATGTTGACACAAACACATTAGTCAAATCAGATCATCTGAGTCCCGAAGTAAAAAAAAAAACAATCATAAAGGAGCTCTGCTTATTGGGTTGAGCTCAATCTCAGGAGGGTCTAAAGCAGCAAGAAACAGAAGGAAAATGGGATCATTTGTAAGGAAAAATAAATGAAGGAATTCAATCTTGCCATTCATACAAAAATCTACTGGTCTTCAGTGTTTTTTGTTTTTGTTTTTGTTTTTAATAAACTCATCCTTCTATGTTCAAAAGTAGAAATTGCAAAACATTGTCTTTCCTCTGTGTCTGGGATACTTTGTTACCCTGAATGAGTAGTGACTTGCAAAATCAAAGAAGGAGGGTACTACTGGGAAAGGGGGTGCAGGCTGATGAGTCTGGACCTGACAGGTCGCAGGCTGCAGCTGAGGACCGCAGCAGCTAGGAGAGAATGTTCCAGACTGAATTCCGGACGTTATGACCCTGAGCTTACTAGACGTGCCGCCTTTCTATAGAAACAAAGGAAAACCAAAGCGTTTCTTAGAAGTCTGAGAAGAGGCAAAGGTCACAGTGGTCTCCTTGAAGATGCACGTAAATACCACTGTCAAATCCCCAGTGCACGTGCAATAAATCAAAGTTGTTGGAGAAAGAATAGCAGTGACCATCTAAACAGAAACATACCCATAAGGAAATAGAACCTCCAACCTCAATTTGCAAAACTGGATTATATTTTAATTTAGATATCGTGTAACTAACCCCTGGAAATGTTAAATCCTTTCCCTATCTGGTCCCCAGACTGTAATTATGGTCACTAGCCATACATAGGCCAGATTCCCTGTCATGTGTGACCACGTAATGTCTGAAAACCAGAAGGCTCTGGAACCTCTCAAAAACGCACCAGAAATATAGCTCTGTGGCTCTCATGTCTTTCCTATGCTTCCATCTGACATACATCTCTTTTTGCTGGCCAACTCCCTACACTTCCAACTGCCAGCACCTCTGACTCTACCTCGGGGCTCTTTCCCCATCACAGAGCCTGCTCTGCCCTTGTTCCTGGCAGGTCAGGAGTTCCAGGGGATTCGTACCTCTTCACCTCACCCAGCAGCCCTCCACAAATAACTGATAGGTATGTGGGAATAACTATCCCCGCTTCCTCACCCCGAGGGCAGAATGACTTTGAGGTATGTTTTGTACATTGGTTCCCTGAGGTTTCTGGAAGAATTAAACTCCAGGAGCCCACCGTGGTAAGCTGCTTGATGACGCGCTCTTACTGACTCCCTTGCCTTCTCCGTCTTACCCACAGACATCCTGAGATCACCTCCACATAAACTACTTGTACATGAATGGTCTCATGGTCCGCTTCTGCAAGAACTCAAAAGAACAGAGGATACAAAGTAACCCTCAAAAAACCTAAAACCTAGCAGAAGCGAAATAAATTTGCCGAATGAATACATGAATGATCTATCTCAACCTGCTTCCAAGTGGAAGGAACTCTATTCTGAATCAACTAGCACCGGAAGTGAGATCCTTTCTGTATCGAATCCTGGAGCATGGGTTCTTAACCTGGCACCCATGGATCAGTATCATGGGATCTATGAATTCCCTGAAGGGAGATGTAATGTTTCTATATCTGTGAGCTTTTTTCTGAAAATACAGGCCATCATTTCCATCTGGCTCACAGATCTATGACCTTTTAAAGGGTTGAAAACTAGTTATAAATAAAGCTTCATATTCCAGGGAATTACAACAGGACACAGTCCCTTCTATGTGAACTGGTGTCCTGTTGGATCCGGCAGCACGGTATACACTGTCGGACGCTGGCTTGTGGCACCTTCTCCTGACCGCAGAGCATGCGAAGTAATGGGAAGTCAGTACCCTCTCCCTGGAACGCCTGGCTGGCATATGCGTTCTTGCAGTCCTTAGTTGCAAACCCTGAAATGCTGGAGGTTTTGAACTCTTTCTGTTGTATTTCCTATTGTCCCATTTTGGGCAAACGCAGAAATTTTAAGAGATGCTGTGTTCTTCAAATGCATACTCTGCAAAAAATGTCCTCTACTGAGTGCTCTTTCTCCCCACTGAGGCGGAGGTTGGCCTCAGTGCATCTACCTGGTTCCTGTCCCAATTAAACAGAACTCTCGAAGGGGGGGACCCTGGCAGCAGGGCTGAGAAAACCGAAGGTATCCGGGCTGCTAATTCGCAACCCAAACACTCACCATTGACCGACTGATGATTGTCTACTTACGATAAGTTAGAATTGGGGCAATGGGCGATGGCTGCTCCCCGCTCCTTGAACACCTGCAGCTCTTCTGCTGAAAGGTAGCAGCCATGCGCCATCACTGTCTGGAGAGAAGAGTGTCCTGTGTGGAGTTTGCCACTTAAAAAATGTTTCCCTTAGTCTCGACTCCCAGCAAGATGTCACAGGTGCAGACTGAAGCTGTGACTTATCTGTGAGCCTCTTCCCAAGAGCACTTATGATTACTTGTATGTTGAAAATCCCTGTGTACAAGTTACCCCTCCAAAAAGGCCTATAAAATCACAAGGGTCCAGGGGATCTACAGGCTGGGAGAGCCATCCAGCTCAAAGATACATTGTTGCCTCCAGGCACGCTACTTTATTTCCTAATTCTACATGGCGAGCAGCTGGTGGGGCTGTGTTTGCTCCTATCTTAATCAGAACTTTCTAGAAGTAAGCTTTTCTTTGTCAGCACATGGAAGCTGTGGGCGTAATCCTGGAAAGAGCTGTTCTCATTTCTACTCCTAGTGAAATACAGGCACCGATGCTCTTGATACACAAAAGCAAATAATCTTTTTTTTTTAAGATTTTATTTATTTATTTGACAGAGATCACAATTAGGCAGAAAGGCAGGCAGAGAGAGAGGAGGAAGCAGGCTCCCTGCTGAGCAGAGAGCCCGATGCGATGCGGGGCTTAATCCCAGGACCCCGGGATCATGACCCAAGCTGAAGGCAGAGGCTTTAACCCACTGAGACACCCAGGCACCCCAAAAAGCAAATAATCTTTATTTATCTATTTTTTAGGTCTTTTTTTAATTGGAATATAGTTGACACAACCAAATAAACTGTTTTACCACCCATATTTATATTTCCACAAAAATTAGGAAATATAATATTTTATGTGCATTAATTTGGAAGATGAAATTGATCCAAGAAGGCAGGCACTGCCCACTTATAACACTTCTCTGTTTAGTCCTGATGATATTTGTGGGTTTTCCTGAATAGGATTTAAGTCTTTCTTGTGGTATAAATACAGTGTAATATTACTCAGCAATAACAAAACATGAGATCATGCCATTTGCAACAACATGGATGGACCTTGTGGGCATTATGCTAAGTTATTAGGCTAAGTGAAATAAGTCAGAGAAAGACAAATACCACATGATTTCTCTTATATGTGGAATCTAAAACAAAGAAAAATTAACAAGCAAACAGAATCAGATCTGTAAACACGGAAAACAAACGGATGCAGAAGGGAAGGTGTGGGGGGATGTGAAAAATGGGTGAAGGGGAGTGGGAGACATGGGCTTCTGGTGATGGAATGAATACGTTATGGGACTAAAAGGAACAGCCTAGGAAATAGAGTCGATGGTGATAGGTTGTACAGTGACAGATGGTAGCGAACTTGTAATGAGCATAGCATAACATAGAAAAGTTAAGTCACTATGTTGTACACTGGAAACTCATGTACCATTGTGTGTCAACTCTACTCAAATGAAAATAATTAAATTTTTTTTAAAAAAAGGCTTTACTCTTTCAAAATTCTTCTTCTTTCAGCACAAAACCTGTTTCTAATAGCTTTCTCCTTTGGGAGGCACAGTTCAGTGACCAAAGAATTATTAATAAAATAAAATTTTCCTGGAGCACCTGGGTGGCTCAGTGGGTTAAAGCCTCTACCTTCTGCTCAGGTCATGATCCCAGGGTCCTGGGATGGAGCCCCGCATCAGGTTCTCTGCTCAGCAGGGAGCTGCTTCCCCGCCCCAACCCAGCCTGCCTCTCTACCTACTTGTGATCTCTGTCAAATAAATAAATAAAATCTTAAAAACTAAATAAGTAAATAAATAAAATTTTCCCAAGCTCTGTGCAAATAAAATTAATATGCAAATGGCAGGTTGATTTATTAATCACATGGAAATATACGTAGAGAAGGCTGAAAATTACAGTGCAGCATTTACAAGATCTATGTAGAGTATTAACCTTTCAAATTAGTCATACTCAGCCCTCCCTTCACAGTCCCAAAGAATTTATTTGCTGCAGTAGATTCAACTCTCCATGCAGTTTGTACAAGTCATTGAAGGCCAAGACCCAAGGCCAAGGGGTATATTGTTATAACGAAGGGTCTCCCCACTATATTAATTTCAATTAATGTGAAATTATTTAATTATGAAAGTATTATACACTCATTTTTTTTTAAGCATTACCACAGTGTCTAAAAATAAAGACTAACTAGTCCCGTTTTCTCCCTTAGGTGGATCACATTTAATAGTCAATGTTTGTATTCCAGATAATTATTTTTTTTAAGAGATGAGAGAGAGGGAAAGAGTGTGTAAGTGGGGAGGAGCAGAGGGAAAAGGAGAGGGAGAATCCCAAGCAGGCTTCGTACTCAGCACAGAGCCGGAGGCGGGGCTTGATCCCTGGACCCAGAGACCAGGACCTGAGCCCGAATCAATAGTCAGATGCTTGACCAACAGGGCCACCCAGCACCCCAGATACTGCTTTCTAAGTGAGCATGTACCCACACATCCATACACACACAGCAAACAATACCCTATAAACATTCTTCCTTGTAAGCCCGTATACATCGCTCTTGTGAATGCCGGATAAAATTTTAATCACGAATGCTCTGTAAACTAAACAATCCCCCACTGATAGACACTTCCTAACTTCCCCATGAGTTAACATTCCTATTCATATTCCTTACAGAATGCATCCTTAGAAATGCATCTGCTAAGTCAAGAGAATGTGCATTTACATCCTAATGGATACGACAAAACGTCCTTGGACCAAGAGACAGCTCACCCTCAAAGAAGCCTTGAGAGTTATTTACTGGGATGAATCGGCAGGCCAATTTTTAACTGTACACCCTCGCGTGCGCATCCCCTGGGCTTTACTCTAGTTTGGGAAATGCGCACATATTGGAAAAATCTGAGGATTACCATTGAGATTTTATTTATTATTTCATTTTGTTTCCCGCTGCCCCCCCCCAATACTGAGATTTACTGAGATTTTAAAATGTAGATAAGTTCCCCCTCCATGATACAGATTATGTCATGATACGCAACGTACCTTGTTTGTCAGAAGATTGTTCCTATCGTACACATCTGTGTAGTTTTTATAATCTTGAAATAAGTTCTTCACAGCTTCAACCTCATAGACAGTTTCACTTATATGGCTCTACAAGAAAAGAAGTAATATTTTCAATTTTCTAATGTGAAATACCATTAGAAATTATACTTCCTACCCCAAAAATGGGATGGATGGTGTCTGCTTGCAAGGTAACACAATAAAGATGCTACGTGGGTTTTACTGAAAACAATTATATGTATTATATACATACCACATCTATATGAAAAAGAAACTATGAATGTGAACATGATAATTACATGAATATGTAATGTTCTAGCCCTAACCTTAACCCATGTTACATTCTTTCTATAGCTAGTGGGAATAAAAATAAAAAGTACTCGAAGAGAGTACTTGAACCTAGCTATTTGTGGGAATTTGCCTCTTCCCATTTGGCCATTTAAGAAAAGAGTTTCGTGGCCATAAAAGGACAGATAGCATGGTTCACTCATAAGAAACCTAGAATTTGAACAAGGAGAGCTGAATGTTAGCCCAAGTTCTGAGCCTGGTTATGGGTCTTAGGGTGAGTCAGTTCTTTCCTTTGGGTCTTTATATTCTCACATCTCAAATATAAGGGTTGGTTTAAAGGAGTAATTTTCTAAACTCTTTTAGCTTTGAGTATGTTATCCATATAAAAATTTACAGAAATACAATATGTAAAAGGCATAAACAGGTTTCCTCTCAGGAAGAAGCAAAGACTGGGACTCTAGAGCCCTGTCCTCATTCTGTCCCCTTCATCTGCCTCCAGAATGAGTTCTTCTACAGAAAATGGTTTAGAAAATAACAGCTAGACAATCCTGCCATCACCAAAAAAAGAACCCATAAAAATCCACGCCCAGTCAAAACAAATGAGTCCTGGCTCCCACACCAACCTTTCCTGAGGGCACCATAAAGCCTCAGAGGGCAGAAAGTACTTTGGAGACACAACACTTAAGTGTAACCACCCCACACCCTTGCCTAAAACAAAAATCCTTCCAGACCAACCGGTAATGAGTACATATAATGGGAAAAAACTCATGAGCAAGTTGCCACTTCCAAGAACGGCAATGCCATTTCCTCTTTTCCATGATGTAAAGTGTGCGCCAAAGAAATCAGAGAAAAAACAGTAATGTTCTGAACATAGAGTGTTCCACCTAGAAGGTGAGTTCTGTGCTCGCCTGGGGGAAATCTAGACCACTGAAGAAATGCATGGGCAGGGGTGCCTGGGTGGCTCAGTGGGTTAAGCCGCTGCCTTCGGCTCAGGCCATGATCTCAGGGTCCTGGGATTGAGCCCTGCATCGGGCTCTCTGCTCAGCAGGGAGCCTGCTTCCTCCTCTCTCTCTGCCTGCCTCTCTACCTGCTTGTGATCTCTCTCTGTCAAATAAATAAATAAAATCTTTAAAAAAAAAAAAAAAAGAAAAGAAATGCATGGGCATCTGAAGAGAAAAAAGGACAGCCAGATGATTCTTTTCACTTTGATAGATTTGAGCCAATGTAGGCACACATGCTTATACCCACAGCACTCGATTTTGTTTTGTGTTCACGGAGTTCTGGACACACAGCCTCCAAACATGGCACCAGGGCACAATGCATATTTTCATCTGAAGGAAAATAGCTGAAGGTCATTCCGACCTTCCCCCTCCCCTCCTCCCTGAAACAGATCATAAAGCTGTTACGTGAGGGGGGACCACCCTATCCTTGAAGGAAAGGAGCATCCTTATCTCCTAAGACAAAGGGATGCCCCAAAGAATCCAAACAATTATATTCCTCCACGACTGGGCACTTTTCACCAAACCTAACCTACAAATGCTCCTATCTCTTTCTCTGGGTCTTCATTTCCTTATGAAGGCTCCTTATCATGTAAAACTTTTATTAAATACATTTGTATGCTTTTCTCCTATGGTCTTCATCAAGTTAGTGTTCGGACCCAGCCAGCGACTCTAAGTAAGTCAGGAAAACTTTTTCCTCCCCTATGACTGTGTGGGATTGAATAAAAAATACAAATGTTGGGATGTCTGGGTGGCTCAGCCGGTTAGGCGTCTGCCTTCTGCTCAGGTCATGGTCCTATGGTGCTGGGATCGAGTCCCACATCAGGTTCCCTGCTTGGCCGGAGCCTGCTTCTCCCTCTCCCTCTGCCTGCTGTTTCCCCTGCTTGTGCTCTCTCTCTGAGAAATAAACAAATAAAGTCTTACCAAAAAAACACAACAAATGTCACAGGACCCCCAAAAGGGGGGAGGGGATGACGAGAATAGTTAATGAGCCCCAACAAAATAAATCTTATCAAGAAAACAAAACAAAATACCCTCCATTGTGATAAAGAATCAATGTGTTGCCTTTCCCCTAACTTGCCCTTTGTTGTAAGATAGTCAACTCTTAAGAGGGAAAATTTTAGTGCAGTCCGTCATGAAGCTTGGGTGGGGAAAGGGGAGCCTGCAACTTCCAATTTTAAACCAGCTGGAAGCTTTAAAAAGTGTTTCAGTCCCAAATCGCAACTGTTTAATGACAAAGTAAGATATACTTTCTTGTTCCTGATTTTTAAATTAAGGAACTCAGAACAAAAGGGTTTTTAAATGCATTTCTGTAAGGTAGAAATTAGGTTCTTTTTGTTTTTCAAATAATAGGTGGTTCCTCCAAAAATTTAAGACTAGAACACTGAGGAAAGGATCAAATAAAAGAGAGAAGTAGGAAAGAAACAAATTAAATTTATCCCACAGAGAACAGGTAACCAGTGCGTTACCGATCTGGCTTTGTTACAGATGACGTCCTTGTCTTGTCTCTCTAAGTCTGAGCGGGAGGGGGGGGGCGGTGTTAAAGGAACTTTAAATTTCTTATCTGAGAAATTAAAGAAGTGGATTTAGGTGACGTCTGTAAGAACCCTTCCTATCTTATGATGTTATTTCTCTAGGAAATCTCAGAAGAAGAACTAGAGAGGACTGCCAGAATTTAGGGTACTAAAAAGTCTTGCAGGCCTGGACAAGGGCACAAAGAGGAGAAAAACACCCACCTGAATATGCAAATTATGAGTCTTCGCCATGTTTCCCAGTTTACCCAACAAAGTGTCGGAGCAGGAAAGGGAAAAACGTGGTGTCACTATGGGCTTCACTCTAGAATACTGGAAATAATTTAAAGAAAAAACTGATAAGGAAACTATAGCTATCGTGAATGTGTGACATACCCCAACATGCAAATCATACAACATGATAATTTCATATCTTCATTTAAGGGGATAGTACCCCATTCTAAAAGTGGGTGGAAGCAGTGGGTTTCATGGAAACAGCTCCTGGCTGAGGACAAGAGAGAGAATATTCTAAAGCACCAAGTTCAATGGAAGAAGATCCTGTCTCAAATGACAGATAGTCCCAGTCCTACATCCATGTAAGGTTCAGATGAGGCCTTGACTTGGTGGCCTTCCTGGAGAGAAATGGGAAGCAGAAGAACTTCTAAAGGGGGCTGATATGGGGAGACTCAGAGAGAAGTGGTGTCCTTCCTATTCTCCATCTCCATCTTGGGGAGGAGTGCTGGCCATGGCCTCCTTCAGGATGTTTGGTGGTAGCACTGGCTCTAGTGTCACCCAAGATGAAGGCTGAGCAGGACAGAAGGGCTCAAAAGACGGGTGGTGAGCATGAGGACCCGCAAAGCTTCAGCTAGTTCTCCTGAGATTAGACTGAAAGTAATAGGGTTCTCACAATTTCCAATGAGACTTCAAAAAAGGTGGTAAGGGAAGGGTCTGGCTTGCAAATCTAAGAGATTACACAATGGAGCTACAAACTGGCCTGCTGGGAATGGGGGGAGGAATCGGTAATGCCTCCGTAGGCTCACCAACACCAGGGCAATGCAGAGAGGAGTGGCTGGCTGAGTGTCTGCAGGCCATGTGACATACCACACGTTAGGGACCAAGGTGGCCAATGCCTGGGGCATCACGGTGGACACCACCTGTGCTCTAGACCAGATCAGGATGTACAAGAGGCCAGAGCCAATGCTGATGTAGCCAACTTCCCATTGCTCCCAATCTGTCTACATCCGTGAAGGCCTCTCTCACCTCCCCAGGGACCAGTCCTGTGGGATTAGAAGGTTCCAGAGAAAAGGAAGGGAAAAACCACTGAAGCCTGATCGCACAGAGCTGAGTTGATGGGTCCACTGTAAAAATAGTCGAAGGCTCCGGGGAAACATTTCTGCATGCATGGAGTAAGCCAAACATACACGGACTAATCTTTACCAAACAACTTAATGGCCAATCTTACAAATGACACAAAAGCAATCCAAAACCAAGCTGGGAACAAGCTTACTTACATTCTTTTTTTTTTTTTAATTTTATTTTTTATAAACATATAATATATTTTTATCCCCAGGGGTACAGGTCTGTGAATCGCCAGGTTTACACACTTCACAGCACTCACCATAGCACATACCCTCCCCAATGTCCATAACCCCAACCCCCCTCTCCCAACCCCCCTCCCCGCTTACTTACATTCTTTTGGAGCATCCGTGACACAAATCTGAAATAAAGCAACAAATGGCTAAGATAGAAAATTTTGGCATTTTTAAATAGATTTTTTAAAAGGGTGAAAACATGATCCTTACATGTCTTAATTTCCATGCAAACATTTCTAACGCCATACATGTTTCCCCAGCACTAATTAAAGATTAACAAGTGGTAATTACTCTGCTTTCTCATTTGCAGCCAGAGAGATAGAGTGCAAAATCACAGGGAAATGCAATTTTACCCCCTAACATCAGCTGGGCTGTTCATGAGTATTCCCATATCACTCAAGCCATTCCACTGGCTTAAGTTCTATTTGGGGAAATACTGCAGGATGTTACGCTCTGTGGATATTGGATCACTGGCATCCTATGCGCCTGGAGGCATTTCGAAGCGTAGGGCTCTATGAGCACAGATGATGGAGTAAGGCTGTTGGAAGAGGCCAGAGATGGCTGTGAAATGGAGAGGGCAGGTCGGGGAAGGGGGTGGGTGTTGAGGAATGAGACCAGATGGGATGGGGGTGGCAATCAGGGATGGTGGTATCCGCAGAGCATATGAAACGGCGGTTTGTGCCCCAACCGAAAACATTTACTAGCTAGCTTTCTGCGTTGTGGTGGTCCTTTGTTTCAGAATAAAATGTGGATTAAGGCTTGCTATGACCACAAGATGCTATGACCACACATCCATAGACAAGTTCAGCATGTGACCAACGGTAAGAGGAAGGTGATGCTTCGGTCCTTCTGTGAGCACATGGTGGTTCCTAAGCCATCCTTTCCAGAGGACACGGTTAAGGTGAAGGAGGTTTGGAATTGTAGAAAGTTGGGCTTCCAAAAGTTGCATCAGGATAGGGTAGGTCTTGGAGAAGATTTACAACTAAAGAATGTTCTTCTATAACTCTTGGATGTTGAATGTCAGACAATGCAATTCCTTGTCAAATCAAATGCTCGGGGGACTATGGAAAAGCCATTAAATAAAGGAAATTAAAGCCATTAAAGAAAAACCATTAAAGAAAAAGAAATGTAGATAAGGTACTTTTGGAATCCACAGACTATCCCAATGTAACCTAAAAAAATATAACAGAAGCTCAAGATCTCAGGCAAGAGGATGATCCCGCCACCAAAAGGAATCTGAAGCACAGATCATACACTTAAAGCAAGTTCAATTTGGGCGCCTGCGTGGCTCAGTGGGTTAAAGCCTCTGCCTTCGGCTCAGGTCATGATCCCAGGGTCCTGGGATTAAGTCCTGAATTGGGCTCTCTGCTTAGCAGGGAGCCTGCTTCCTCCTCTCTCTCTCTCTGCCTGCCTCTCTGCTTACTTGTGATCTCTGTCTGTCAAATAAATAAATAAAATCTTTAAAAAAAAAAAAAAAAGCAAGTTCAATTTGCAGGAGAAGCCTCCATCTGTAATAAAGGAGAGGGAAGTGGTAAATCATTAACTTTTAAAAAGAATCCTTCATTTCACGAAGGGATTCACCATAGGACTCCTATAGCAAGTTCCCAGAGGCTTCGAAATGGTATTGACATGCACCATTTTCTTTAGGACCAGACCACCTGCATAAAGAAGGGCAAACCCACACAGTGCCTATGTGCCTATGGGCCCGGTTCACAGAGTTGCCTCTCTCCGTCTCACTCCATCAGTGCCTCAGAGGGACCGCCCACAAGACCACTCCAGATGCATGTACCTCTCCGTTTCCTTGATTGACTCCTCGGTGGTTTCCCTGTACTCTGGAACAGTAGCATTCATATCCATGCAGACCTTGCCCACAAGCGCCCGCTGCCCAAATTTATCTGTGAGAGGCCACACAAACAGAATGTGAAGTTATGTTTTTCCCCCCAACAGTATATCCCTCCCGAGCCTTTAGAAAACACACTTAAATTGAAATCATCACGAAAACACAAGTGCGAATGTGAAAGGTCATCACACCATGAAAGAACAGAAACAACAACAACAAACCACACCAAATTCTGTAAGTAGGTCAAGGTTTTCCACGGACCATTCCTTAGATTACTACCAGGATGATGATAATATTTGATTAAGGTCTAAACCCGTATGTGCCCAGTGTCCTCTGTTATGTGTAAGGTTATGAGGAATACACCCAATAATGTCTATAAAGTGTCTGGCACATAGGGCTTAGAAAAGATAGCGCTACTTTTCTTAACAGTAGCAAGGCCAATATTATCATCGGTGGGGAATTTGACTTAGTCCCCTAGCAGCTCTCGGCACTAAGGAACCGGCCCTCACTAGAGGTCCTAGAAAAATTTTTATTTCTGCTAGAACATTGAAGATACTGTTTGTCTGATGTCATAAGACTCTTGCAAAGAAAGGTCTTTTTCCTCTCTCTTTCCCCTGTAATTCACTGTGATACCTGGCCATTAGATGACTCTTCCATGAACCACCACCTTCACCATATACCTCATCTTGCTCAAAATCTTTGAGTATCTGATGCATATTCGAACCTCTCCATGGTCTGAACCATCCCATCTGCCCAACCTCCTCTCCCAACCCACCATGTGGTGAATCCTGTCCTCCAGTTCAGCTTTTCTGTTCCTTGCTTCCTCTATCCACTATGGACTTCCCTGTCCCCATACCTTTGTCCATGTCATTTCCCCTGCTGGGAAGACATTTTCCTCCCCCAATTTGATGTTCCTGTATAGTCCCATTCAAAGGCCCTTCTCTGAATTCTTTCCAGATGATCTGATTCTGAGTCTTCTCTGTCTCCTCCAAAAATAGCAATACATATTTTCAGCCTCTGGCAGAAACTACCTTGGCCAGCGAGCAGAAGTATCAGCGCATCAGCCAGTGGTATTTACTGAGCATCTGCGACGTTCTGGGTGCTATGCGAAGTACGAGTTTTGGAATTACTAATCTAAAGCGAGTCTCCAATCTGCTTACTAGCCGTGTGACTTGGGCATTATGGCCTCTGAGCATCAGTTTATCCATCTGTAACACGAGGGCATGAATGCCTACTTCCAACGGTTGTTTGCAACTGAGCTGAGATAATCCACGGTGAGTGCTCTGTGCGAAGCCAGGCATCTAGCAAGAGCACAGCCGCTGTTAACACAGTTATTAATCAAGGTGTGTGGTTAATAATCGTTAATAATTAATCGTCTGGCTCCTCAAGGGCAGAACTATTTTCTATTTCATTGTGTTCCCAGCATCTAGCACAGTGCCCTGAGCCCAGCCAACAGCCAAGACATGTCTGCAGATTATAATATAATAAACTGTTACCACAGTGAGAATTAGTAAACCTGCTCCCAAGCGCCCTAAACTAATACACAAAATTCAAACCCGTACGCGTCATTCTGGAACCAAAACCATAAATAAATAATCAAATTATATACACAATAAAAAGCATTCAAGGGCCATACACATACACCTAATTACTCACAAGAAATGCAGTGCTCAAATTCTAGCAATTAAAAGGCAGGACAGCCCACACGTGTAAGTCACTGCCGGGCACGGTCTGACTGTCTTGGCTTGATGTGCCCATAAATCACGCTTACATTTCCTCACCTGTAATTTCTGCAAGGAGCAGAGATGAGTCAGTGTGAATTGTTCCAAAGTAACAAGCTGTGGTTGTTCCATTCTTCAGTGTTCTCCTCTAAAAATAAATCACAAAAAACCATGAATCGCGTGTGCCCAGAAAAGTCACATGGCAAATAAAGATGAAATAGAATTCTAGTTTTTAATTTAAAAATGTTTTTATTTAAAGGTATGCCATCTTGATATGAAATACGGTTAAGGTAAATGGCAAAAGTATTTATATTCCGGAAGTGTAAGCTGGAGAAGAAGCTGGTACTTCTGATTTCCTAGAATTCACACTGTTCCGTGCTACAGAATTCACAAAATATAATACTAATTAATTCCTTGGTTTTTAGGATTATTTAAGGATATCCAAACTTTATTGTATCAAGGGATGAGTTAATGAGATTTTTTTTCCATTTCCTACAAGAGGGCAAAATTATTCAGCCAGATTTCTAGTTTAACCTAGCAGGTTAGTAGCACATTTCCACTAACCTAACAGTATAGGAGTATAAAATGTATTAACCAAGAAGAAAGAGACATGAGCAAGGGAAGCAATTCTTCATCCTCTTAGAAAACCAAAAAAAAAAAAAAAAAAAAAGATGAAAACCTGGAGGTGACTCTGGAAGGAGAGAAAGAAGTATAGAGCTGTTAATAGAGAATTGGCTAGCCATCTGTATACAGATGATTAAACCTGGCAAGACCCTTCTCCTCCTTGCTGAAATCAGCCAACCACCCCAACCAGATACTTGCAGGAGAGAATTGCTCTTGCAGAAACTTGCAGTCGTATTTGAAGACTGGACACCCACTATGGCAAGGTACGGCAGAGACTGGAAGGAGTTTTAAGTGGATAATCTGGTTGACCCTCTGGATCCTTGGTCACTTTTCCCCCAAAATGTCACATATGCAAGTCCCACCACTCCTGGCAGGACTCAGGAACTCTTTCCTAGAGAAGATGAATGGTTCTAGAAGGAAGATATCCTCACAACGGCATTTGGGGCCCAGAGTTGAGAGGGCTGTTCACTGCCATCACTGTTTATCCTATAATGAAGTTCCCTCGTCAACAAGTGCCACCCCAACCAGACTTCCAATCAGTATTTTAGAGCATCACACTTAAATATGAAATGTATGCCCAAGGTTCAACAAACATTGGAGGAAAGGTAGTATAAAAGAGAGGAGGAGGAAAAAAGAATCTGGAGAAAAAAAATCTCAGAGGAAAGAGGCAATCTGTAAGGTTAGAAGGAAACTTGATTTAAAAAAAAAATCTATGGGGGCGCCTGGGTGGCTCAGTTAAGTGTTCAACTCTTGATTTCAGCTCAGGTCATGATCTCAGGGTCATGAGACGGAGTCCCAAGTCAGGCTGCATGCCCTAACCAGACTAAAGCGAACTCAAAATTAAAACAGAAGTGTAATCTAACGTTTTCTATACTCTCAAAATTTTACACACATCGTGGCTTGAAGATGAACTCAAAATAGAAAGCGTTGGCTCTTCAGCAGGAAGGACAATGGAAGCGCCACACAGACAAGGACATTAAGTCTTTCTAAGGGAGGGGAGGACGGTTGTTTTTACTAGATGAGAATTGCACTTTCCCGTTGGACTGGGATAAAATAGAAAGTTCAAGAATCTGCCCAAATTATAGTTAAAAAACAGGACAGAGAGAAACCACAGAGAAAAAAGGGCAAACAAAGGAGGGAGAGGAGAAAGGAAAGAATCTCCAAGCTACTCTTACTGGTTCCCACTGAGTTCAGCCCATTTAACAAAGCGGCTACGTGTGTGCGACTTACGTAATTGCAAGAGAGGAGTTTGGCTTTAAACCCTAACTGAGGAGGCCACCTAACATACAGCCGCTTCCCTTCTTCCTTTGTTCTATATTTGGGCATCCTGGACCCAATGCCACCCTAGTTTCTCATAAGCTTTCAAAAGGGCTCTTCCGTTAGTGACGAGTTTGTATCTTTCCCATTTATAAGAATCTACCAAGAACATCAGGCTGTGGGTAGTGTTTCTCAATCCTTCCCCAGCCTTCAGTTCTTGACAAGAAAGGTTTTGAGACCAAGCTTTTTGAGCTCAAAATAGATGCCAAACATGGGATGACTACAAACTTCGAGACGAGTGGCGCTGGCTTCTTAGCAGAGTAGATGATCTGCATTTCCACTGGGCTGAAAGAGGGAGCAAAGAGTGGCCTATTTTCTTTCGATGCATCTTATACCTCCATGGTTTGACAGCTCTCTGGAATTAGCTGGATTCATCAGTTGAATCTTTGACAACCCCACAGAGTAAGCACATTCCTTCTGTCACCCAGAATATTCACAATCAGTTTATCTTGGCACCTTTACCAAGGATCTCACTCTCCAATCCCTTGACTGCAAACGATAGGATGTATAGATTCCTGAGCCTTTAGTGTTTTTAGTTTATTCCAGTGTACTTGGAAACTGTAATTTCCCATCCATTTGCAATGTTTATTTTTTTTAAAGATTTTATTTATTTGACACAAAAAGAGAGAGCACAATTAGGCAGAGAGGCAGGCAGAGAGAGAGGAGGAAGGAAGCTCCCCGCTGAGCAGAGAGCCTAATGCGGGGCCCGATCCCAGGACCCTGAGATCATGACCTGAGCTGAAGGCAGAGGCTTTAACCCACTGAGCCACCCAGGCGCCCGGCAGTTTGCAATGCTTAAAGGAGGATAATCCAGGCTTGCTTTACTGGGATTTTTTTTCCTAAGTAATCTCAGGAGATGTTTGCTAATATATACTTTAAATTGCTTGCATAGTAAATGATCAACATCATCTATGGCGCAAAACTCTAGGGTCTTGATTTACCCATTTGCTGAAGTATAGATCTAGAACTGTTTTATGAGGGAGAAAATAAAACAAACAAACAAAAATGGCTTGGATCTCTTCATACGTATGGTTTTAGCATCCCTGAGCAGTCTTCAGTCTAAGGACAGGTTCTAGTTAACAAATCTCAACTGCTACAGATTTCAACAATATCATCAGCTCATCTGACTATTAAAGTATGCAGGCCTGCCTGCTCATCACCAGAAACATAGGAGTAGGCAATGCAAGTATCTGTCAAGAATAAAATCTATTTTGTACGCACTGACATTAAATACTTAACTCTCTGCTACAAGAAGTAGTATTTATGGAGTACTGCCTGAAGGATATAGATACTCTAAATGTCTAAACATAAAACAGTAATATATTTGTTTTTTTTTTTTAAAATACTATAGCACCTTAATAACATATATTTTGACAACATAGCATGCATCTATATGAAATATTATTGAAACTAATTTTTAAGAAAATCAGTATAAGGAATAGAAATGCTTTACCTTAACAAATATCTTCTTTTTTATCATATACACAGTGCAAATTACATCACTGATTTTCCTCCCTGGGTCAACGGCTAGAAACTTAACGCTGAACTTGTGGCAAATTCTAACAACTGCATGGACCCCCATGGTAAAACCCCTCTCAGTTTTACTTTCCTTTCCCCCTTTTTCCCTCTGCCATGCTTTCATGACTCATTTGCTTCCACTGTGTACTATGCTATTTTAAGGTATCTCCAACCCTTTTAAGAACAATGAGAGGGATAAACAAATTTTGAGAAAAGATCTGGTGTGGTTAACACAATTCATTGCCCAGCAATTTCATGCACTGTGTTAGTCCTTCTCAGGTTTTCTGGTGTCATGTGGATGCAGGCTAAATAGGAAAGAACCAACATTATACTGAATTTATGATTAAGGAAGTCAAGTATACACAGGATAGCCCTCGCTTATACTCCTCAAAGGGAGACTAAGCGCACTGCATGACAAAGGGTAGGGGTCAGATAAGGTATTTGCAAAAGGTATTCTCCATTGCAGAAGCTATTTCTGGTTGCTGAGTGGATTTGGAACAGGGTTTGGGGTAGAAAGAAGGATTTCCCTGAGAGAGTGTTAGTAAGGACATCTTCTGAGCCCTCACTATACAGTTGGGGAACTCAGCAGTCACTGGTCAATGACTTGAACCAGCTCCATCGCTCTCTCTAGTGGTGTTAATGCTCATCACATTCCCAAGTACCCCGCTATAGGAAACCATCCTATTTTCCCTCCTTTGGGAAGCTACTAAAATAACGTGAAACCCTGTTAACTGTAATTTACAGTTAACTGTAATTTTAACTTTTAATTTTAAATTTCCTTACATTTTTTAAGGCAAACATATACAATGCTTACCATGTGTCAGGCACTATTCCGAGAACTTCACAAATACTAACTTATCATAACAATCCTATGAAGTAGTTACTATCATGATCTCTACTTTATATTACAGATGGGGAAAATGAGTCACGGAACTTTCCAAAGGTTACACAGCTATTCCATATGGTCCCCAGAACAGCACTGTGGATTGGCAGGAGTAAGGGAACACACACGTGCATGGAACTCAAATTTAGTAACTTGAAACACAGGAAATAACAGATTGAGAGTCAAGAAAGCCCACCAGATAGGGGATTTGAGGACTTGGATTCAAGTTTTCTCTCTGCTAGGGGTTAGTTTGTGTAGAAGACGTAGATGGTCCACACACCCCTGGGGCTGTGAAAAAAACTGAAAATGTCTCCACAGTCCACTCTAGCCTCAACTGCCTGTGCTTTGTAACTAAAATATGCCCCAAGAAATGGACGTGTCTACAGGTGATTTGGTCATAACACACTGCTACTCACAAGCAATATACTTACGACAACTCTGGTATATACTTCTTCCGCAAAGTCAATGTTCTGGAATTTGAGTTCTGTAGGAAATGTGTACGTGGTCAGCCAGTCCAAAAGTGGCAGGTCCACATTACTCCCAGCAAAAGAATACTGAGGGGCATGGATGTGTGTATCAACCAGCCCGGGCATGAAGAACTCACTGAAAATAAATACAAGGGGAAAAGAATTTAATAACATCTTCAATCATTTTCCATATCTTTAAATCCCATTTTCTCTCCACAGTGATTTAATTGTTCACCCCACTAGGTTAGAGCTAACGCAATCAGATGACTGTAAATTCTCCTCTTATCTAGGGATCAAGAAACAGAAGTGAAGCTCGCTGGGAGACGTACGGCTCGTACACTGGAGCGGCGGAACGGCTGGTGTGAGGTTAACCAAAGATGATCGAGGCAGGCAGAAGCACCATATGGAGAAGAAGCAAAGCAGTCATGGAACAAGACATCCGATGACTTTGTTCTTATAACTGGAGGTTGCAGGATGGAGAGCAAAGATGAGAAAAAAGGTCTTTAAAGGTTTTAGAGCCATGCTGAGGAATTACTCCTAAGTCATTAAGGATGATGGGCAATGACAAACAGTGGCCGCAGTGCTAGACTCATGGGTCCTCTAGACCTTGGCTGACTCCTTTCCCCTGTGAGGTAGGGGCTGGGTTCTGAAATGAAGCAGCAGGAGCAAACTGAGGCTGGTTGGCGACAGGCCATCCTGGGAGATGAGACTGCCCCTGGGTGGGGGTGTCGGATGGGTAAGTGAAGACACAGCCCCCGAGCTCGGACAGCCTTCTCCAGGTGCTGATGATCCCTCCTGCTTGTCCCTTGGACCACCAACTAATTATCATATCTCCATGGATTCTTGTAACAGAAAGTCCTGGAAAGATGTTTTGAAGGGTTTTCAGGGGCACTACCCATAGAACGAGGCAGCCCCCAAACTAACAGACACTTAGAACGAATTCAGTTCACTGGTGTCTGTTAAGTGTCTACACACATCCAAACAGATATCTGTCAGAAGACTGTATGTACCACCACCAGCACCCCCTGAGAAAATATTAATTATATTTTAACATGAAGAACTTGAGCTCAAAAGTTGACATAACAGGGGCGCCTGGGTGGCTCAGTGGGTTAAGCCGCTGCCTTCGGCTCAGGTCATGATCTCAGGGTCCTGGGATCGAGTCCCACATCGGGCTCTCTGCTTAGCAGGAAGCCTGCTTCCTCCTCTCTCTCTCTTTCTCTCTGCCTGCCTCTCCGTCTACTTGTGATCTCTCTCTGTCGAATAAAAAAAAAAAAAAAAGTTGACATAACAAAGAATCCCTTATGCTACCAATTCAAAGGTATACCGCCTCAGTGAAAGGCAAACAAAGCCCGGGGTATCTATAAAATGCATTATGTTTAAAGAAATGGGAACCAGGAATGGTGGCCATAATGTTGTTGGTGGCCACAGTGGATAATGTTTGCTGAAGAGGTGCGTGTACTGGGCACGCCATCCGTGTGTGTTGTCGTACTTGTGGGAGGCAGTCTGTTACAGGGGTTAAGTACATGCATTCTTGGGGTGCCTGGGTGGCTCAGATGGTTAGGCACCTGCTTTCAGCTCAGGTATGATCCCAGGGTCCTGGGATGGAGCCCCACATCCGGCTCCCTGCTCGACAGGGAGTCTGCTTCTCCCTCTCTCCACTGTCCACCCTGCTTGTGCTCTCTCACTCTCTCTGTGAAATAAATAAATAAAATCTTAAAAAAAAGAGAGAGAGAGAGAGAGAGAGAGGCGCCTGGGTGGTTCAGTGGGTTAAAGCCTCTGCCTTCAGCTCAGGTCATGGTCTCAGGGTCCAGGGATCGGGACCCGCATCGGGCTCTCTGCTCAGGGGGGAGCCTGCTTCCCCTTCTCTCTCTGCCTGCCTCTCTGCCTACTTGTGATCTCTCTCTGTCAAAATAAATAAATAAAAGTTAAAAAAAAAAAAAGAGAGAGAGAGAGACTTAAAAAAAAAAAAAGTATATACATTCTTGACTCAGACTACTTGATTTTGAATTCAGACCCCACCATCAACAAACAGTGGGATCATCAACATGCTATTTAACTTCCCTGTGACTCAGTGTTCCCTTACGTACAACAGAGATAGGAGTTACACCACAGGGCTGTTGTGAGGATTGTTAGCAAGTGTAAAAACAGTGCCTGGATAATAAAAAGCACTCAAAAAAATAGTAGTTACGATGATGTAATGCTCACAATAAACTTAGGAAGTAAGTTGTCCTCATTGACAGAAGAGAAAACTGAAGCTCAAGAAATGTAAGTAATTAAAAAAAAAAAAAAATCACTCAACTAGTCAGCTTTGGAGCCTAGATTCCAATCCAGGAGGTTTGTCGGCAAGCTCAGTACTCTCGGTCACTACCCTTCAGAGGACAGAGTTCATCCTCCGCTTTGGCTGGGAAGAGCCGTGACAAGCTCGTATGGCAAGAAGGTGGCATTAAGTGAACCTACAATATGGGGGGCGCGCAGCACGGGGGGGTGAACTATGGATTCCTCTCAGGCGGGACTTGCTGACCTCTCAGGACACCTCAATCCTGGGGCTTTTCCTGTCTCCCAACACCACGAAATGAAAGGGCCGAGTGATTTGTTCATGTTGTTGTATTGTTCAAACAAATAAAATTTCCAAAATATCTGGTAAATTTTTAAAACTTTCCTAAACCTTGTGGGAGTTCCCAAGGGAAATAAGACGTCTTCAAAGAGATTATAATCTAGCTGAGCAGATTAGGGGTGGGTGAGGCTATGTTTGGGGGGGTGGGGAGACAGGAGAGAGGGAGATAGAGAGAAAAGCAGATCTGGTCAAAATATAAAGGATCTTAGTGGGCAATTTCACTCCTAGTGGTTTATCCAACTGAAATAAACAGACACTTATGAAAAAGCACCGTACAAAAATATTTGGAGCAGGTTTATGTATTCTAGCCTCGAACTGGAAACAGTTCAAATATCACAGGAAAACAGATAAACGAACTGTGATATTTCAACACAATGGGATACTATTTGGCAATAAAAAAGAAAGAACTACTGGTATAAACAACAAAATGGATGACTCTCGGAAACATTATGAAGAATGAAGAATCCAGACACAGGAATTATTGATTTATTCCAGTCATATGACACTTAAAAACAGGCAGAAGTAATCTATGTGATAGAAAGAAATTGAACAGGGGATGAGGGGCTGGAAGGGGCACAAAGGAAATTTCTAGGCTGAGAGGAATGTATCATATCTTGACTGGTATATGTTGGGTCACATAGTTACATGTGTCTGTCAAAATTTATCAATGTATACATCTAAGATCTCTGCACTTTACTACATTAAAAAAAAAGTTTCAAAACAACAGTCCCCCCCCCCCAAACAAAAAAAACCCATCTTAGAAAGGGTCTTGAATAATCAGCTCAGTGAGTTAACTGGTATTGGCTATTCTCTAGCCAGGAGGGAGGGGATGGTGAGGATACTTGTTACTTTGTTTTTTCCTCTCTTTTGCAGAGCTGTGACACACTGAACCTCGGCTGTAGGACATGAATTTGGCCGTGGCAGGGATGTGCTGGGAGACTCCTTCCATGCATGTCCCAAGCATGACATTTCTGAATAAAGATTATGGTGATAAGAACAGAAAGGAAAAGATGAATACAAAAGAAAAAGCTTGATATTTTATTAGCTCTGGGCAGCAAAGGAGAGGAATGAGTCCAAAAGAGAGCTTTTGAGCATGTGAAGCTGATTATAAGACATGATGTGCAGGGAATGTAGGAAGAAATCCCACGTTGAGGGCGGGGTGATGTTATTAAGTCTAGAGTCAGTGTGATCTCCAATGGTCCAAAGAGCATCAGAAACATGGGATAAGAGGTGACAGATTCAGGTCTGAGAGTCCGCTCTGCAGAGGTAAGCCTTGTGTTTGGTGGTGCCAGCAATTTCTGTGGATAAAGAACAAAACTGAATCTTGAGCAGTACCGTCCACTTACAAGAGTAAGAATGAGGAACACAAGGCTATGCTCATTCTGGGCAGACCTGTCAGGAGGACTGAGGGAGACCCAGGAAAGAGGGGTATCAAGGACAGCAGTGAAGGGAAAGGAGTACAGCACAGAGATTATCAAGGGCAAGGGTGAAGGGCAAGTGGTCTCAGGCAACGAGAGCCCTCATTTCTATGCGGTGACTGGGGAGACACCTGATTTCATGTGGATTCAGTCCTATACCGTAGAATACTTACCAGATCTCTAGAATGGTTTAGTTACTGCCCTACATGTGGAAAAGAAACCCATGAACACGAAAGATCAGTGTTTAGAGAAAGTACTGGGCAGAGGGAGAAATCCCTTTAAAAATATTTGGTAGTGGAAGAATGGGAAGGTAGGGGGAAAGGGAAAGTCATGTTTTGTTGAGGATTTTGTTAAGGAAGCAGAGATGAAGGAACTCTTTTCAATTTTGCTCACTCACTAGCTTCATTGCCTTAGAAAAGCTCAACTTCCCCATGGATCAATATCATTAATTTCATATTCTAGACTTGCAGTGTTGGCCAGTCTGTATCTGAATCTGAGGACAAAGAAGACGGCTGCCCCAAATACACTTATCAAAACTCATATTTTAACAAGTGGACAATGTTCATGAAAGCTCTACCATCAAAACATATGACAATCTAGAAGGTTCTGAGGTGCCCAAGCTGTTTGCTCAACATCGTCAACCCTCATTCACCTGCCAGCCAGGAGGTGTGATGTCCCTGTGGGCTTGGGAACCCCAGGCTCTTTGAAAATGACCATTTCCTTGTCCAACAGTGCAGGGGCGTAAAACAATCAATAACATCCTGTCTTTACTTAAAATTTGGGTATTTTGTCCATTATGGATTTTTTGCATTAATTTTGATTTTTTTAAAAAATGGTGCATCCAACTATTACTTATCTTGATTCATGAGCTTTTCCCCTTCCCGACTACCCTGAAATTCCTTGCCCAATGTGAATGCCTCCCTTGTTTCAGCCTAATCCTGGCCCTGCCGCCCTCTCTATGGCCCATGGTCACAATCTGATCTACTTCCATTAAAGCTCGGCTCAGAATGCTCCAGTCGTAATTTTCATTTAAGAAAATCCACATCCTGGGCTGCCCGGGTGGCTCAGTCAGCTGAGTCTGCCTTCAGTTCAGGTCGTGATACCAGGGTCCCAGGATCAAGCCCCACATCGGGCTCCTGGTTCAGCTCCTGCTTCTCCCTCTGGCCCTCCCCTTGCTTGTGCTTGCACACGCACTCTCTCCAATAAATAAAATCTTAAAAAAAGAAAAGAAAAAGAAAATCCACATCATGCTGAAATAGACCTGCAGGTACAATTAAACGCACTACCAGAGACACCATCTTCTGTGGTATCTTCATTGTGACTTACAGAAACTCAAGTGTGCATATCTGCGTGTTTGGTATGAGGTTTTCTACAAAGACCTCAGTCTTCCACCAAGGTATATGGTTTTTCTTACCTTACCGCTTCTCTGTGTGTGGTGCCTACAGAGGCCCCAGAATCTCTATTTGTCTGATGGACTTTCCTCCAAAAGCAGCCTCATGAAGAGGGGCCAAAGGATGTGAAGACCCACAGCAGTGTTCGCCCCTCCCCCACCCTCAACCACTCCACCTCCTACCCTCAGCTCATCTACTCCCACAGCTTCTGCCTCCTTATCCTGAAGGCCTGCCGGCAGGAGACCAAATGTCAGTCATTCCTTAACATACATCCTCGTACCAATCTAGCAAGAGGAAGCAGACAATAACACAGAAGTGGCTAGAATTATCTCCCTGCCCACTGGATTCACTTCCGGGCCCGCTGCCCAAGACCTCCCAAGCCCAGAGAGGCAGCAGGTAGGAAACCTCCACACAAACACAGGTGCACCAAACTTCATTATGAACAGTCACCCCATCTGTCAGGACTGGGGCCAGCCCCTCTGCCTCCAAGCCTTATGGGTAACCCAGTTCACAGAGTTGCTGCAGGGTCCTTAGGAGGCATCCACCATCGCTGAGGACAATTATTTTGCTAACAGCCTGGGAGACGGGCTCAGAGAAGGGAAGTGCCTTGCTTTCAAGCTGTAGCGAGAGGATTCAAGCCAGGTGTTCCGGTTCCTAGTTCACTGGAACTTCACTCTCTGAAGTCACTTCCCAAGTTAGAACAATGCCTGTAGGGGCGCCTGGGTGGCTCAATGGGTTACGCCTCTGCCTTCGCCTCAGGTCATGATCTCCAGGTCCTGGAATGGAGCCCTGCTCAGCGGGGAGTCTGCTGCTTTCTCTCTCTCCCTCTGCCCCTTCCCCCTGCCCATTCTCTCTCCCTCCTCTGTCTCTCTCTTACTCAAATAAATGAATAAAATATTTTTTAAAACCCATAATATAAAACCACAGCTCAAAGGCACTTGGGGGATGGGTGTCCCCTAACTGTGCTGTCACTTACTGCTCCCCAAGTCTCCATCTCCCCTCACCCCTGGCAGTTTCTCTCCCTCCCTCTTTATTCCCTTTCTTCCTTCCTATATACCTTCACGGAAGGTAGCACAACCTATCCCTGGTGTGCTTCCCTATCTGCGTACCTGCTTGCTCTCTGAGATCCCCGTGGGCTGTAAACCCTGCGAGGGTGAACACCTTACACATCGTTTTCTCCAGATCCTGGTTGCCGCACACAGGAAACGCCACAAAGATCTGCTGGAGAACTAAACGGATGATGGCAGCCTCCTGTTCTCAAAGCATCCATCCTTCAGCTTCCTGTTCTCAAATTCCCTTCTCGTTCTCACCTCGCCCCACAAGGAAAAAAATAAAACCTCTCCGTCTCCGAGGCAGGTCTGTAATCACCTGAGACTGGCGAAGGGCATTATTTAATAGCAAAAGGGAAGACGTTGGCTGTACTTACTGGTTGCTTAGTTCTCTTACTTCACACGGCTTGAAGCACCATTCTTTGGCCAGCTTTTCTTGTTGGGATGCCTCTTCTAAAAACACTATCTTTAAAAGAAAGAAAGAAGAATCACAAATCAATAAGCCATAGGCATTTGTTGTAGTTAAATATCTAAATCTTTTTAAAAGGTGTTCGATAACCAAATGGGATAGAGTTCAGAGACAAAAGGACAGGGGTTTGCCTTTGCTTGACCAAGGAAGCAAACTGCATGAAATTTCTTTTTTGCCTTTCTACAGATACACATAAGACTTCAAAAATTCTAATTTGAAAACACAGGGTGTTAAAAATGGCTAATTGATATCTATTTCTCCCCACATCCCAAAATGATTAAAGGAAACAATTATTTATAGAAAGTGTACCTCACTTCAGATGAATAAAAGACTTTTGTTAAGCTGTTAAAGGAGACTCCTGTACAGAGTATGGTAGTAGTATATCATGGGGAAAGTTATTAACACTGAATATAATTGCACATAATAATTGCCCGACAATCAAATCTTAGCATGAATTATGTTGATGCTCTGGTTCTGGCCATCTGCCATAAAGAAGTCTGCTATATTTTTCTAGTACTGTGGATGAGAGGCTAACAGAGCAACCTCTTACGCTAACAGAGTCCTAACAACATGCGCAACAGCTGGGGAACTTTGGAGGGAACTCTTAATTCTCTCTTGGTCTGGGTTCCCTATCTGCACCCTGGGGATAACATCAGTACATACTTCACAGGGTTACTGTCAAGACTCAATATGGTAACTGTGGTAAAGATGTTAGCACATCCCCAGAATATATTAAATGCTAGACACATTGTATCTATTGCTGATTCTTTTTTGAATACAGTATTACTGTCTTCTCTATAAAAGTGGACTGCAAAGCCAGAAAAAACAAGGGACAATGGAATATATATGCAGGAAATATCCTGTATTTCGTTTATCAATGTAATATTGGGAGAATAAATGTTTTATGATACATAAAATATTGAAAAAAGACTGCTAAATAAAATGTATCTAATTAATTAGAAGCAAGGCACTATACTGTGCAAAAAACAGTGGAACTGAAAATAAAGTAAAATATGTTGATTTCTTTATTCATTGACGATACACTTTTTTTTAAATGGGATTTTTTTTTTTATTTAAATTTTATTTTTTTTAAACATACAATATCTTTTTATCCCCAGGGGTACAGGTCTGTGAATCGCCAGGTTTACACACTTCACAGCACTCACCATAGCACATACCCTCCCCAATGTCCATAATCCCACCCCCCCAACCCCCTCCCCCCATTAACCCTCAGTTTGTTTTGTGAGATTAAGAGTCACTTATGGTTTGTCTCCCTCCCAATCCCATCTTGTTTCATTTATTCTTCTCCTACACCCTTAACCCCCCATGTTGCATCTCCTCTCCCTCATATCAGGGAGATCATATGATAGTTGTCTTTCTCCGATTGACTTATTTCGCTAAGCATGATACCCTCTAGTTCCATCCACGTCGTCGCAAATGGCAAGATTTCATTTCTTTGGATGGCTGCATAGTATTCCATTGTGTATATATACCACATCTTCTTTATCCATTCGTCTGTTGATGGACATCTAGGTTCTTTCCATACTTTGGCTATTGTAGACATTGCTGCTATAAACATTCGGGTGCACGTGCCCCTTTGGATCACTACGTTTGTATCTTTAGGGTAAATACCCAGCAGTGCAATTGCTGGGTCATAGGGGAGTTCTATTTTCAACATTTTGAGGAACCTCCATGCTGTTTTCCAGAGTGGTTGCACCAGCTTGCATTCCCACCAACAGTGTAGGAGGGTTCCCCTTTCTCCGCATCCTCGCCAGCATCTGTCATTTCCTGACTTGTTAATTTTAGCCATTCTGACTGGTGTGAGGTGGTATCTCATTGTGGTTTTGATTTGTATTTCCCTGATGCCGAGTGATATGGAGCACTTTTTCATGTGTCTGTTGGCCATCTGGATGTCTTCTTTGCAGAAATGTCTGTTCATGTCTTCTGCCCATTTCTTGATTGGATTATTTGTTCTTTGGGTGTTGAGTTTGCTAAGTTCTTTATAAATTTTGGACACTAGCCCTTTATCTGATATGTCATTTGCAAATATCTTCTCCCATTCTGTCAGTTGTCTTTTGGTTTTGTTAACTGTTTCCTTTGCTGTGCAAAAGCTTTTGATCTTGATAAAATCCCAATAGTACATTTTTGCCCTTGCTTCCCTTGCATTTGGCGATGTTCCTAGGAAGATGTTGCTGCGGCTGAGGTCGAAGAGGTTGCTGCCTGTGTTCTCCTCAAGGATTTGGATGGATTCCTTTCTCACATTGAGATCCTTCATCCATTTTGAGTCTATTTTCGTGTGGGGTGTAAGGAAATGATCCAATTTCATTTTTCTGCATGTGGCTGTCCAATTTTCCCAACACCATTTGTTGAAGAGGCTGTCTTTTTTCCATTGGATATTCTTTCCTGCTTTGTCGAAGATGAGTTGACTATAGAGTTGAGGGTCTATTTCTGGGCTCTCTATTCTGTTCCATTGATCTATGTGTCTGTTTTTGTGCCAGTACCATGCTGTCTTGATGATGACAGCTTTGTAATAGAGCTTGAAGTCTGGAATTGTGATGCCACCAACTTTGGCTTTCTTTTTCAATATTGCTTTGGCTATTCGAGGTCTTTTCTGGTTCCATATAAATTTTAGGATTATTTGTTCCATTTCTTTGAAGAAAATGGATGGTACTTTGATAGGAATTGCATTAAATGTGTAGATTGCTTTAGGTAGCATAGACATTTTCACAATATTTATTCTTCCAATCCAGGAGCATGGAACATTTTTCCATTTCTTTGTGTCTTCCTCAATTTCTTTCATGAGTACTTTATAGTTTCCTGTGTATAGATTCTTAGTCTCTTTGGTTAGATTTATTCCTAGGTATCTTATAGTTTTGGGTGCAATTGTAAATGGGATGGACTCCTTAATTTCTCTTTCTTCTGTCTTGTTGTTGGTGTAGAGAAATGCAACTGATTTCTGGGCATTGATTTTATATCCTGACACTTTACTGAATTCCTGTACAAGTTCTAGCAGTTTTGGAGTGGAGTCTTTTGGGTTTTCCACATATAGTATCATATCATCTGCGAAGAGTGATAGTTTGACTTCTTCTTTGCCAATTTGGATGCCTTTAATTTCCTTTTGTTGTCTGATTGCTGAAGCTAGGACTTCTAGTACTATGTTGAATAGCAGTGGTGATAACAGACATCCCTGCCGTGTTCCCGACCTTAGCGGAAAAGCTTTCAGTTTTTCTCCATTGAGAATGATATTTGCGGTGGGTTTTTCATAGATGGCTTTGATAATATTGAGGTATGTGCCCTCTATCCCTACACTGTGAAGAGTTTTGATCAGGAAGGGATGCTGTACTTTGTCAAATGCTTTTTCAGCATCTATGGAGAGTATCATATGGTTCTTGTTCTTTCTTTTATTACTGTGTTGTATCACATTGATCGATTTGCGGATGTTGAACCAACCTTGCAGCCCTGGAATAAATCCCACTTGGTCGTGGTGAATAATCCTTTTAATGTACTGTTGAATCCTATTGGCTAGTATTTTGGCGAGAATTTTTGCATCTGTGTTCATCAAGGATATTGGTCTGTAGTTCTCTTTTTTGATGGGATCCTTGTCTGGTTTGGGGATCAAGGTGATGCTGGCCTCATAAAATGAGTTTGGAAGTTTTCCTTCCATTTCTATTTTTTGAAACAGTTTCAGGAGAATAGGAATTAGTTCTTCTTTAAATGTTTGGTAGAATTCCCCCGGGAAGCCGTCTGGCCCTGGGCTTTTGTTTGTTTGGAGATTTTTGATGACTGTTTCAATCTCCTTACTGGTTATGGGTCTGTTCAGGCTTTCTATTTCTTCCTGGTTCAGTTGTGTAGTTTATATGTCTCTAGGAATGCATCCATTTCTTCCAGATTGTCAAATTTGTTGGCGTAGAGTTGCTCATAGTATGTTCTTATAATTGTCTGTATTTCTTTGGTGTTAGTTGTGATCTCTCCTCTTTCATTCATGATTTTATTTATTTGGGTCCTTTCTCTTTTCTTTTTGATAAGTCTGGCCAGGGGTTTATCGATCTTATTAATTCTTTCAAAGAACCAGCTCCTAGTTTCATTGATTTGTTCTATTGTTTTTTTGGTTTCTATTTCATTGATTTCTGCTCTGATCTTTATGATTTATCTTCTCCTGCTGGGTTTAGGGTTTCTTTCTTGTTCTTTCTCCAGCTCCTTTAGGTGTAGGGTTAGGTTGTGTACCTGAGACCTTTCTTGTTTCTTGAGAAAGGCTTGTACCGCTATATATTTTCCTCTCAGGACTGCCTTTGTTGTGTCCCACAGATTTTGAACCGTTGTGTTTTCATTATCATTTGTTTCCATGAATTTTTTCAACTCTTCTTTAATTTCCTGGTTGACCCATTCATTCTTTAGAAGGATGCTGTTTAGTCTCCATGTATTTGGGTTCTTTCCAAATTTCCTCTTGTGATTGAGTTCTAGCTTCAGAGCATTGTGGTCTGAAAATATGCAGGGAATGATTCCAATCTTTTGATAACGGTTGAGACCTGATTTAGGACCGAGAATATGATCTATTCTGGAGAATGTTCCATGTGCACTAGAGAAGAATGTGTATTCTGTTGCTTTGGGATGAAATGTTCTGAATATATCTGTGATGTCCATCTGGTCCAGTGTGTCATTTAAGGCCTTGATTTCCTTGTTGATCTTTTGCTTGGATGATCTGTCCATTTCAGTGAGGGGAGTGTTAAAGTCCCCTATGATTATTGTATTATTGTCGATGTATTTCTTTGATTTTGTTATTAATTGGTTTATATAGTTGGCTGCTCCCATGTTAGGGGCATAGATATTTAAAATTGTTAGATCTTCTTGTTGGACAGTTCCTTTGAGTATGATATAGTGTCCTTCCTCATCTCTTATTATAGTCTTTGGCTTAAAATCTAATTGATCTGATATAAGGATTGCCACTCCTGCTTTTTTCTGATGTCCATTAGCATGGTAAATTCTTTTCCACCCGCTCA